CTAACTAGGGCCTTGAAAAATTAACATGAGTAAAATCTATCACAGAAAAAAAATTCAGAAAGTAACTTCAACACACCCAATACAAAAAGTCCACAGTGTTTCCTTTGCTGTGTTTTAAGGATGATTTAGTTTAAATATTGTTACTATTTTATTTTTGTTACAGTTTAGAAAAATAATGAATCAAAACCAGAATTTAACAGTGAGCAAGCATGCTATCTTTGTAAATATATTTCTCCCTTGTCTACATAACAATATTTTTTCCAACTGATGTAAATTTTACATTATGATTACAGAACAAATAGTCAGTAGAAGAAGGAGTCCTTGTTAACTAAATAAATATCTTTCTATCCAGCCAGCTCCTTCAGGATGCTGGGGAACACCATAAGACCAGTGGATTCCATGATTATGGACCCACTATCATGCTTCTTGGATGGGAAGTGAGTTCCCAGGTGAGAAGCAGTACTGTGTGGAGTACCATGTTGGCGGATAAGACCTTTCTGTAAATCTGTTGATGATAATTTTGGCAAAAGTTTTACATGCAGAAAAGGCAAACCCCTAACCAGAATAAGTATCTATTCCAGTAAGGACAGAGTTGTTCTTTCCATGAGGGAAGTCGTCCAATATAGTCAGCCTGCCACTAGGATGCTGGCTGGTCACCATGGGGAATAGTGATGGTCTCCGTCATTGATCTGGTACTCAGCATTATCTGTAGCCATGTCAGCCATGGTGAGTGGATGTCCATGTTGTTGAACCCATAAAGACCCCCATCTCTTCCAACATGGCCACTTTGTTCATGGGCCCATTGGGCGGCTGACATGAGTGGCTGGGAAAAAAGACTGACTGTCCACAGAAAGAGTCACCCGTTCTACCTGATTATTGAGTTTCTTCTCAGCTGGAGTCACTGTTTGGCGAACATTTACATGGGATACAAGTATTTTCACACTCTTTGCCCATTTGGAGAGATCTATCCCCAGATGTCTTTCTCACCAATTTTCCAGTCATGCTCTTTCTAAGTCCCTGACCATCCAGCCAATCCATTGTCTACAGCCCATCAATCAGTGATCAGTTGCGCATTTGGCCATTTCTGCTTCCAAACAAACTGTATGACCATGTGTACTGCCCAAACTTCTGCCCACTGTGATGATTTCCCTTCACAAATATCTTTCAGGGTTGTCCCAGAATAGGGTTGTAATGCTGCAGCTGTCCACTTCTGGGTGGTGCCTGCATGGTGGACAGGACCATCAGTAAAGCCAGCCCGCGTCATCTCCTCCTCAGTCCAGCAATCATCAGGAACACTCCATGAAACTGTAGGTACATGTTTGGCAGAGGAAGGTATTATAGCAGGAGAAGAAACCGTAGGCATTCGGCAACTTCTTCATGGAGCTTGCTCGTGCCTTCAGGACCTGCTTCGGCCTGATCTCTTACATACCACTATCATTTGATAACAGTTGCTGCTGTGTATGGCCAACTTTATGACTTGGAGGGTCTGATAACACTCAGCTCATGATGGGCTGTTCAGGTGGCATGGTAACTTGGTGGCCCATTGTCAAATGTTCAGTTTCTCCCAGTGGCTGGGAGTAATGACATGTATTCACATGCTTGGTCTTATTTACTTTTGAAAATGATTCTTTGGGAACCAGTGGGAGACACTTGAACTGTCTTTAAGAAGTATTGTATTGTCCCAATTCTCCAATGCTCCTTTTCTTGTGTATTATTCATTTTGTTTTTTATAGTGTGTGTGTGTGTGTGTGTGTGTGTGTGTATGTGTGTGTATGTGTGTGTGGCGCATGCCTTAAATCCCAGCACTCGGGAGGCAGAAGCAGGCAGATCTCTGTGAGTTCAAGGCCAGCATGATGTACAAAGTGAGTTCCAGGACAGGTTCCAAAGCTACACAGAGAAACCCTGTCTTGAAAAACCAAAAAAAAAAAAAAAATGCACTATCAAACACAGCTTGAAAAATAATTTTTATGGTACAAGTCCCCTCTTTTTATGGTGGCCAGGAAGGCCAGGAGATGGTATCAGAACCCAATACTGGAGTTACAGAGAGTAGTGAGCCTCTGTATATACTGGTAATGGTAGCAGAATGCTCTGAAAGTATCTTCAATGCTCTTAACTGCTAAGGTTTTTTCTACTCTATGTTTTCTGTTTTTGATTATGCTTCCTGTCCAAGGAAGCCTAGTCAGGGTCAGATACCTGATGCTCATTAAAAAGTGGAATTCTCCTCCAGGCAAGAGAATTAGCCTCAGCCAGGGATGACCTCCCTAACTGATGATCCAGTACAATGTGGTCAGCCCATTATCCATATATGTACAACAAAAATGTATACAACACAAATGGACACATAGGTTGTACTCATGTATTCAGCATACTGATTCACCCAAACTTAACAAGGAAGAAGTTGGAAGGTGTTTGGGAAGGGATGGATTGAAGAGACAAAACGGGACAGTGATGTAATATCTTTTGTTTTGTTTTTTGAGACAAGGTTTCTCTGTGTAGCTTTGGTGCCTTTCCTGGATCTTGCTCAGTAGACCAAGCTGGCTCTCACAAAGATCCGCCTGCCTCTGCCTCCCAAGTGCTGAGATTAAAGGTGTTCGCCACCACTGCCCGGTGATATAATATCTTTTAATTAACCATTTAATAAAATAAAATTTAAATAAAAAACAGGGGCTACATAGAAGGCTCAGCAATTGGGAGCACTGGGTGTTGTTACAGAGGACCCAGGTTCCATTCCCAGAAACCACATGGTAGCTAACCATTTGCTGTAACTCCAGTCCCAGCATCTCCTGCCTTCTTCTGGCCTCTGTCGGCACCGCGCACAGACACATGCAGGCAAAACACCATGTAACTAATTTTTATTTATTGAAGTTAGAAAAAGGGAAGAATGGAATTCTCTGCAGTGATGTCACAGGCCTGAGACAGACAGCAGCCAGGGCTAGTTAAAATGAACTCCTTCTGGTCTTTCAGGGAAGCAGTTGTGGCCTTCTCCTGAGCCAGCCTGCTCAGAGGCAAAAGCAGTTTTCTTCTGAGGTCAACAGAGCTCATCATAAACGGTCATCTAAGAGCAAAGTATACAGTGCTGTTAGGTGGACTTTCCTGGATGTTTTCTCTATTTGTGTTCTGTCTTTTGTACCTGTGAGAATTGTGGCATTGGTACAGTTGTCCTTTAGATCCAACATCAAGAGTGACAGGCACCATGGGCTCCAAAGCAGTCGTCTACCCTCACAGCGTCATCTGCTTGACTTTCAGCTAAGACCTTGTGGTACAAGATGAACAGGCCAGAGGCATTTCTTTCCATCATTCTTATAATTTATGTATGTTCTTACATGGCTTTGAGGTAAGAATGTCCCTGAATGTCTCTGCTTTTACATTGTGATCATGTTCAGAAGCGGATTTGTTGACTGAGCATGCTTAGGAATATGCAGAACTCTATGAGAACATGTCAAGATTCCGTAAGTAAAATCCACATGCTTCCTTTGTTTAGTAAAGACATTGTTTTGGAAATAACTCCCATGCCCTCTTTACCTCCTTCAAGTAAGAAATCTTTCTAATTTTTTGTCTTGGCTGTTGTAATGGCTATTCTTGGTAGTCAAACTGACTACCTCTGGAATTAACTAAAACCCAAAGACTTGAGTATATCTGTGAAGAATTTTTCTTAAAGGTTTTGAAATTAAAGACTAATCTGCATCATGTGAGGTGATAAGATCCTCGTTTAGCTGCTTGGTGGCAGTGCACACCATTAGCCACAACACTGAGGGGACAGAGGCAGTTGGATTTTTGAGTTTGAGGCCAGCCTGGTCTACAGAATGAGTTCCAGGGCTACACAGATAAACCGTGTCTCAAAAACACCAAAAAACCAATCAAACAAACAATAAGATCCACCTTTAATCTGGACCGCACCTTTTGGCAGCAGCTGACATACATAAAGGATATTGAAGAAGGAAGCCTTCTGTCTTTGCCTGCTTGCCCTAGCTCTGGCTACCAAGTTCACTCCTTTACTAGCATTAGAACCTACTTTTTGGTAATTTTGTTGTATACTGAAGACCAGCTAAGACATCCAGTCAAAGGGACTGAACAACTTCAAATTTCCATTGGTAGACAGCCACTGTTGGAGTAGCTGGGCCACAGCTTGTGAGACAGTCCAATAATTTGACTTTATACATACATGTAGAGATTCATTTTACTGGTCATGTTCATGTAGAGAACCTTGAATAGTGCAGCTGTTTTTTTTTTTTTTTCTTTTTAACCTGCCCACTGAGGAAGATGTGCTGGCTAACAATAGTGCTTATAAAGACATTCTTCCTGGCTTCATTATTCTCTAAGTATTGAAATATTGAACTTTCCATGAAGACTACTCTTTTTATTATTACTCATTTGCCAACAGTTTGCTCTGAATTTCAGGAATAAAACTCCTAAATTAATGGAGCCATCATGCAGCCTTCTGATGGGAGAAAGACCTATTATCTTGTTTGTGATCTAGTTCCTGCTTTTCTTTTCTGGATTTCAGAAGTCCCTGTGACAACCAGGTAAAAAGTACCTTCAGTTCACCTGACTCCGGTGTGAAGCCACAGAACAAATATCTCCTTTTGTGTTCTTAAATCCCTCTTTAGTTGTTAATATTTCAGGCACCCTTCTAACTGAGTGATAGGGAATCACTCCACCTACGTAGTATGGAGGGCTGTACAATCTAGCTAGCCACATTGTGTCCAGGAGGAAGAAGGGGAAGTGCCTGTGGAGAGCAGGAAGATAGCAGGGTCTGTTATTAGAGCCAGGGGCAAGTGCTATTGAAATGTCTATGTCTGCTGATTTAGAAAAGGTATTTGTCTGAGTTGGAAGAGAGGGTCAGGAACCATGGTACTGTGTCTTTAAGCACAGGGTAACCCTATGGGAGGTGCTCGTGTCACTTTGAACTCACTAGCCAATCAGACCCTCCAGGCGACCTGCCAGTCATAAGTGGTGCAGGGCGCTTCCGGGTTCCCGGCTTCAGGCTTTGCTTTGAAGAGGAGCTGGCGGGAGAGGTCTTGTGTGCTGTGCTGTGAGTGCTGCTGCTGCAGGGAGCTGACTGGAGAGCATGGGAAACCGTGACCAGGTGAGCGAGGGACTGCTGTCTCCACTTGAGGAGGAGCAGATGGGGAGGTGCGGAAGCCGGTGGGGCGTTCTGGGTGGAAACCTGCAGCCGGATTCCCTGTCCTGTGAGGTCCCATGTGGTCCTTGCAACTCCCTGGACCCAGAGGCATGCCTCTGATTAACTTTCCTCTGTGGGCTGCATCTTCACAGATCATTGGGAGCAGGGAGCTGTGTGTCGTGTGTAGAAAGATCATTGTAGTCAACTTCAACATGCTTTTGTTACATTCCTGAAAAGCAGCCTGTCAAACTCAGAGCGGCTTAGTTTCTCCAGGAGCTCTTAGACATTCAGAACTTTGAATTTTTACCTTTATGTGTAAGACCATTTCTAGTTAGTTGTTTTTGCGGAAGTTATAAAAGGCGTCTCATGTGTTGGGTAGCACTGCACTACTAAGCTGTCATGTTGAAGTGTAGAATTGGTGATATAAAGCATTTACCAAAGTTTAGGAGGAAGTAATTACTCAAAGTAGAATTTAACTGAGGGAGGACTGCCTCTGAAACACCCCAAAGATAGTAGTATGCTAACCAGGCCAGTTAGGGACTGAGATGCTAGGATACACATTTGTTCCCCAGGATAGTTTGGCTCCAAACCACAACCACTTGGGTCCATGCCTGTATCAAAGAACAGGCCTCTAACAAGCTGCTCAAGGAGGCATTACAGGGTCACAGCCAACCTTAAGGCATGGTGTGCCATAAAGTTCCAGTTTTCTTCCTGAGAAAATCGTAGTTCTGGCAGATGGGAAAGAGGACACCAGGTGGCAAGTATTTGGAATGTAAAGTAGTGTTATTTATCTGATCAAGCAGGGCTTTCCTTTAGGCGGTCACGCAGGGAGGAGGAACTTTCTTGGGAAAGCTAATTATGGCCTGGGTCCTAGGCCTTGGGAATTTACCCTGAGGGCCTGATAGATTGAAAATAAAACAGAGCTCCTTCTTTAAAACCAGGGATGTGCTTGGAAGAGCTGGTAATGGTCTGGGCCCATCCTTTGTGGAGGGGTGGCTTCAGATCCTGAGAGCCCAGCACTTCCCTCTATCTACATGGAGCTATGGTGATCAGCCCCAAGACAACTGTGGGCTTAGTAACGTTCTTGAGATACCCTGTGTTCCCCTTATGCAGCATTGTCTGATTAGTCTTTTCCCTGGGTTTGTCCCATTGTATTATAGTTTCTGCTGACTTCATAGATGTTTCCCATTGCCTTCCATTTCCCCTCTGGAAGCAGGAGAGGATGATACTGTTCTTCTTAAGATGCTACTTGCATGAGACATAGCTTGTGCAGGACCTCCCCACCACATCTTTTCTACCTTCTACTTTTCCTATCTTTCTCTTCCCTGGCACCTCCACCTCAGGACACTGTCAATGAAATAGGGTCTGCTGTTTCAAGTCAATGGTGTACTTAAGAAATAATTCTGGGAATATATTTGCTGTGTAACTCTCCCATCTGTCTAAGTAGCTAGACTTTTACAATTTGCTGTTTCTGTTTAGATTGTTCAAAGTTAACCTGAAGCATGAACCTAAAAGACACTTGAGGACAGCATATGTGGAATACAGTATATGTCTAGGCTGTCCCTCTTTGAACACTAGCCAGAGATGGAGGCATACTATTATTAAAGAGATTTTTCTTTATTGTTGTAAGTGTGTGGAGTGATTTGCTCTTGGGAAGGGATGTTAATTCTCCAACAGCTGCATTTTGATCCTGTTAGAAGTGTTTCTGAGACAAGCTCTCTTATGTTGACTCAGGTGGCCTTGATTCCAGTCTGTTGATTTCCAGGGAAGTGATCTTCTGTCTTCTATACTACACCTTGAAAATTCTTAGGTTAAATGACTGTACCTGCCCAGAGTTTTAAAATTATCCATTTGAGTCATGTAGTTGACCATCCAATGCAATCACAGGAGAAGGATCCACATGTGGAACATTGCTTCTGTCTTCAGACCAAATAGGAGGAATAGGTTCTTGGGTACACAGCAGGGGAAATGGTAGGCAATCAGCTGCTGCAGTCACTATTATGAAAAAGGATCTGGCCGGGTGGTGGTGGTGCACGCCTTTAATCCCAGCACTCAGGAGGCAGAGACAGGTGGATCTCTGTGAGTTCGAGGCCAGCCTGGGCTACAGAGTGAGTTCCAGGACAGGCTCCAAAGCTACACAAAGAAACCCTGTCTCGAAAAACCAGAGAGAGAGAGAGAGAAAGGAGAAAGGATCCGATTGTGGAAGTGGGAGTGATTTTGTAATTTCCCAGCATTTATTAATTCATCTCATGTGAGAGAACACAAACCAGATTATGTAGGTGTACAGTGTGTTTGGGAAGGTTATCTTGAGCCAGTGAATATTGAATTTGCAACTAGGCCACTCTCCTATGCAGATATGGTCAGTTCTGCTTGACACAGTTATGTCAGCTCAGAGGTTTGAGAAACTGGCCATTGACTGTAACTGTGTGTCAGGCAATAGATCTCAGAAGCCAACATGTGCATATGGACAGGATCAGTCTAGCTCTTATTAATGACATTTCTTCTACTAGGAGAAGGCCTACTCTTCTTCAAAGTCAATATAGCTAAGTTTTTTTTTTGTTGTTGTTGTTTTTGTCATGTCTCCCCCCACCCCCCGTGCCCAGCTGAGGACCGAACCCAGGGCCTTGCGCTTGCTAGGCAAGCACTCTACCACTGAGCTAAGTCCCCAACCCCTAGCTAAGTTTCTTTTAAATCTTAAAAATACATTATGGCTTTACATTATTTTTATTATTTTATAAATCTCTTGTTTTAAGACCAGTTAATGAGTGACCTCCAATCTCCCTGCTTTTAGAGGGGACTTATAAATGAAGAGGGACCTGTGCAAGAATTATTTTCATAAACCAACCTTGAAGTTGGTAAAGTCACAATGCAGAAAGGGAGAGGCAGGACAGAGGTTGAGAGCTTTCACACTTCAACAGTCGTTGAGATTAGCAATGTGGAATTAAGTAATCAATTCTAGATACTTCATAATGTCCTGATTGGCCATTTCTTGGGTTCCACACACCAGGGCAGTCTAGAATCTGCATGAAGGACTGACCTTACTATTAAACCAAATTGCTTTGAATACAGTAGTTCAACCAAAATAGAAGATCTGTGTAAAATGTTGTGGCCCTACCTAACAGAACTGTTAATTTTCTAGTTTAAGATGTTCATCCTGAGAGAAGAGGTGTGAGAAATCTCAGATGTACTCTAAAACAAATCCCTAGTCTCTGGATCACATGGCCATAAAGCCTGTTTTAACTTTTCAAAATAATATTTTGAGATTATCACTACATCATATCCACATTCTGTTTCCTGCCACCAAGCCCTACCATGACCCCTCATTGTTTTCTAATTCATGGCCTGTTTTTCCTTAACAGCAGTTACACAGTAAAACATTTACTGTGTGAATGTGACCTGTGTTTAGCTGCAGTATGCCCAGCTATGAGGCAATGGGTTGGCTGCACTGGACATTGAGTGTGTAATGGAATGTGCACACAAAGGACCCTGTGCTTTGGATGAGGATCAGGAGGTACTCTGGTGGGTGGAAGAATGTCTACTAAAATACAAACTTTCTAGACAAGGGCCCTGGCTGCTGGGCTGGAAGGGCAGAGACTGTGCTGAGTCATTTGATCTAAGATCCCCCAGTAGGGAAGCTGATAATATTCTGAGGCCCAGCTGGGTGGCCCTAGCCAATGGAAAGGCTTATCAATCAGAAGTACCAGCAGTAGATAGCTTTCAGGTAGTTTCTGATATTCTCCTCTGCTTCTTCTGTAGTGAGCTGTAAGGAAGACCACAAGCCATGCCATGGTGAGTATAGGGTATTGGAGCACGTCTGTTGTGCTGTCATTTCTGCTGGGATTTGGATGGACCATGAGCAAGACTGTGGTTCTGTTGGTCCATGTGGTGACCTGGGCAGTGGCCTTTGTCCTCTGAGCCTTACCGTGTCTGAACTTCCTGGGGAGGGGGAGACTGCAGCCCTGGCATGGAAGGATATAATGCTGGTAATATCACTGTCTAGTGTGCACACAAGGGCACTGCTTTTGGTGTTCAGTGGGAAGACAGATTGGAAACTGATGGTCTGACTTTTAGAAGTTCTGAATATGGCATTCCTCTTTCAGGTTTCTTAAAATTTGTTACAAATAGTTTAGAAACTGGTAGAAAGATGATGATGTGGATCATCTTTCAGCAATACATGTTTAGAATGCTTCTCACTTTTTGCTACCATCAGCCACAATGTTATGATTCAGTAAAGTTTAGTTCCAAGGGACTAAAGGAGTTTCTGATAGGCAGAGATTTCTGGTGTTGGGCAGGTAGATAGGGCAGAATCCACATCTTGTGCCATGGTGGATGTGGCAGGAAGCAGATTATAAATTATTCTTCTATGTTGTATTGGGATTTGGCATCAGTGGGGCTGGGTTTACCTGAAACCACAAGGGGGCATAAGGGGCTGCAGAGCCATAGCAGGAGATCACCTCCATTTGCAGAGAGAGTTCTAGAGCATAGGGCTTCTGTCTTTGGATGAACCGTCAGTGGCTGGAGGGTCAGAAACAACAGTTTAAGGGTCATTTTGAGTTAATTTTGTGAAAGTTGTGAAGTCTGTGTTTTTTTTTAATTTCTATACACATTGAATCATAGGTATCTGGGTAGCATTGGTCAAGATCACACTTTTCCTGGCTGAGTTTCCTTTGGATTTTTTTATTAAAAGTTGACTATATTTTCCCATTTTATTGTTGGCTTTTTCTCTCAATTCCCTTTATTTTTTTTTTTTACAAATATTGTACCCATTCTTGATTGTTGTATCTTTGTAGTAAATATAGAAGTCATAATATGTCAATCTGTATACTGTTTTTTTTTTTAATAATCCCATTGAACCTTCTGAGTGTTTCCACTTTGCATGTAGTTTTGGAATCAGCTTTCCTGTTATAAATTGTTGGGCATTGTCATTGGATTCTATTTATTCTGCAGATTTTCCATATACACAACATCTTAATTTTGATGCATCATGTTCCCAAGGATCATTTCTTTAATTCTTATTTAGTTAGGTTTTGTTGTTGTTGTTGTTGTTTGTTAATTTGTGACAGATCTTTGGTTTATTGGATAAAAGGTAATATGGGTCTTGGCAGGTGGCTCAGCACATATTCTTTTTGGGGATGACCTGAGTTCAAATATCAGTACTCAAGTTGGGAGGCTCATAACTATCTACTGTTTTAGATGCAAGGGATCTAACAGCCTCTTTTTGTGTGTGTCACCTGTATACATATGGAAGACATTCTCTGTCATGCACAACCATATGCCAAATAATAGCAATAAATGTGTTGTCAATAGTGCTGTGACTTATCAAGCAATTAGAGCAAAACAAGTTGTCTTAGCTATATAATACAAATCATACACTGATTCTCTAAAAATCTGCTATCTTGAACTTTGTTTTAAAAAGTTTTCATTTCGCTGGGTAGTGGTGGCGCATGCCTTTAATCCCAGCACTCAGGAGGCAGAGGCAGGTGGATCTTTGTGAGTTCGAGGCCAGCCTGGTCTACAGAGCAAGATCCAGGAAAAGGCACAAAGCTACACAGAGAAACCCTGTCTCAAAAAACAAAAAAACAAAAAAAAAAAAAAGTTTTCATTTCGCTGGGTGGTGGTGGCATATGCCTTTAATCCCAGCACTCAGGAGGCAGAGGCAGGCAGATCTCTGTGAGTTCGAGGCCAGCCTGGGCTACCAAGTGAGTTCCAGAAAAGGCACAAAGCTACACAGAGAAACCCTGTCTCAGAAAAAAAAAAAAAAAAAAAAGTTTTCATTTCCTCACTCTGATACAGACTTGCAAGCAATCATCAATCATAGAAAACAAAATGGTGTCTAAGTGATCTTAACAGACTTCCTCCTCTTTACTGTAAGAGAATGATATCCTTTTAGTAGTCAAACCATTTTCTATAAAGTTAAAACATCAGAAGGCTTCAAGTGAATCTCTCCAATTTTTGTGGATCACCCTCTTTACCCAACTCATTTTCTGTTATTGGTAAAGAAGAGAACCAGAGTGTGTCCAGCATGAGTGATGGCCAGTGATTTTTTTGGATTTTGGTTTTGATTAGAATCTTGTTGTTGTTAAGGGACCATAGTGTATATTTGTTGGTCTTCTTTGATCTTGTTTTGTCAGTGGTACCCCATCCATGTTGTTGATTTTATTAATTATAAACTAATTATATTCATTGTTCACTTTCTGGGAAATGATGGACCTTCACCAATTTTGTATTGAGAAAATTTCTTATGTTATCAGTTCCTTGAGTTTTTGTTGGTTTTGGAAACTTTCTTTGGAGAGACAGTTTTGGTTTTCTCTTCTTGATCTTAGAGGCTTGCTTCTCCTCATTTCTTGACATATTTATGTTTTCCAGTTGTTACCATGTTCATGTTTGTGTTTTTGATGCTTAAGTGATTGATGTGGTTAATATAATGGTTTTGTATTTTTAAAATCTTCTCATATATTATTATTGTCTCTTTGTCTTAATGAGCTTCAGCTGTCAACATGATGTAGCCTACACTCATCTGAGGGAATATCAATAGAGGCTATGCCCAGATCAGAATCACTAGTTATTGTTTGTGATTGTATACAATACAATAAAATTGAATTGTTTGATGATTGGTGTGGAAGGCTCTTCCATTGAGGTTGTAATACCCGAAGCAAGTGGGCCTGAGATGGATAAGACCAGGCAAGAAAGAAAACAATGTTTCCCTGTGGTTTTTGCCTTTAGTTCCTAGCTTAAATTTCTATCCTAAGCTCCCACAATTGTGGATTATGATCTGCAAATATCAGCCAGATAAACCTGAGATGCTTTAGGTTAGAGAATTTAATCACAGCAAGAAAAAAGGAAGTTAGAACAACATATGGTACACCAAAAGTGATTCTGTTGCTGTATAGAATGTAGAAATGCTGTCTTTTGGAGAAATGTGGAAGACATTAGGACTTTAGATGGCAAAAGCCATAGAAAGCTGCACACAGAGCTTAATCACCTATTCTTGTAGGACTAGGAATATGGAAGTGTTGAAAGTAATGCAGACAGTGGAGCTTAGGGTCATAGGATTTCAGTGGGAAATAGACTCCATGAAAAATGTAGCTAGAGGGCATTTGTATAGTATTTTGTCCCCAGATAATCCCTATTTTCTCCACTTCTGAAAAATTGAGTAAGGCAGAATTAAAACGTAATTGGCTGATTTCTTGAACAAAGTATAGATTCTGTTGGGTGTTTATTACTGATGACTCATTCAGGTCTACCGTGGAAAAGAAACAAGTGGTGCAGAAAGAAATGAAAAGTCAGTTTCTTAGAGAAAAACAGCACTAGGCAGTTTCACATGGCAGCCCTGTGGTGAAGCGGAGGCAGGAAATTTCAAGATGTTTAGCACTGTTGAAGACAAGGTCCCTCTCGGCATTAGAAACCTAGAAAGGTACCGTCAGGGTAAGACTCCATCCGTCTCAGCCTTCAGTTTATTCAAGGAATAGGCAACTTGATTTTTAATCTCAAGAAGCAACTTAATACTGAACCTGCTGCAACTCTGGTGCATGGTTGGTAGCATCTCGCACAACTTAGAAGCCAAATTTGGGGGTGGGGGTGGAACAGCCTGTGTCATACTGGTCTGCAAATGAGAAAGATGCAAAATTTATAGATCATAGTTTCTTCCTCTGTGATTTTTATTTCAGCACTATTGCACGCATCTATGTTTGGCAGAGTCAGAAACCCATTGAGGAGACTAAGAGCTCATTCCATGAAGGTGTGAAGATAAAGGCAGTGTTGTATTTTGAGATGACAGGAAATACCCAAACCATGAGACATCTGCCATGGCAAGCTGCATACAGGGAGTGGAAATAGCAAAGGAGAGACATGTATGAAAATTTTCAGGCATAGAGCTATGGAAGACCTTGGAGAATGAAGCCCCACTTGTCTGAGATGGAGCTACAGGATTTGCTGTTTGCCCTGCTGAGTTTTAGTCTTGCCTTGGTCCAATCTTCCCTCTATGTGTCCACATTTCCTTTTTTTTTCTTTTTTAAAAATTTATTCCTCTCACACACAATACATCCTAACTTCAATTTCCCTTCCCTCCTCTTTTCCCAGTCCTCTCCTCTGCTCCCCTCTCCACCAGATATGCTCCTCCTCCATTTCCCTTTAGAACAGAACAGATATCCCAGGGATAACAACACAACCCTACATAGAAAGTTACAGTAAAAATAGGCACAGACCCTCATATCAAGGCTGGATGAGGCAATCCAATAGGAGGAAAAGGATTCCAAGAGCAGGCAAAACAGTGAGAGACACCTTCCACTCCCACTCTTAGGAGTCCCACAAAAATACCAAGCTACACAACTATAACATATATGCAGAGGACTTGGTGCAGACCCCTGCAAGTTCTGTGATTGCTGTCTCAATTTCTGTGAGCCCCTATGAAACCTGCTTAGGTGATTCTGTGGGCTGTATTTTTCTATGCCCTTTAAGTCAGGAAAACTTTCAACTGTGAATTTGCTTGAAAATATTTTCTGAGCTGAGATTCTTCTCCTTCTATTTCTATTATTCTTAGTTTTGGTTGTTTCATAGTTTTCCAGATTTCCTGGATGTGATAGTTCAGGGAAATATTAGATTTAACATTTTTTTGATCAGGTTATCAATTTCTTCTGTCATGTCTTCAAAGCATGAAATTCTCTGTTCCATGAACTGTATTCTTTTGTCAAGCTTGCCTCTTCAGGTCCTGTTCAGTTACCTAGATTTTCAAATCCAGAATTCTTTCAGTTACCATTTTAAAAAATTGCTTCTATTCCCATTTTCAGTAGATTCATTACCTTCAACTGTTGGTTGGTTGGCTTCCTTTAAAGGGTTTATTCACTTCCCTTTAAGGACTTCTGTCATCCTCATAAAGTTGGTCTTAAGCCTCTTGTGCTTCAACTGTGCTGGAATATTCAGGGTTTGCTGTAGTAGGACAGTGGGAATCTGGTGGTGACCATTGCTCTTGTTGTTGTTGATTGTGTTCTTATGCTGGTGTCCATGTATCTGGGTTTGCTCTGATTTTCTTGGTCTAGGTGCTGATTTCTCAGTTTACCCTTGTTGGATGTGTGTTTTGTTCCTTAGTTTTTATTTGCTCTGGTCTTCTGGTCTGTGTGTCCTATTTGAACATGGGTTCTCACTCCAAGTTGGGGGATGAAAATCTGGCATTAGGTGTGGCCTTTGTTCCAGCATGGAGTATCTGCCCAAGTTCTGGGATGAAACAAGAAAGAGGAGAGGGAGCTTGGGGATAGTGTTGAGGGGACACTGAGAGAGTGGGGGAGGTCTGTGGGCAGGTGGCCTACATGGATTTATGGCAGATGGTGTGTCCTTTTTGAGGAAGGGGTCTCCACCTAAGTTGGAGGCTACATCACAGAGATGAGGAAGGAAGTGGGATTGGGGATAGTGTTGGGGTTGTTGAAAGAATGGGAGAGGTCCATAGGTGAGGTCCTATGTGGAATTCTGATTACTGGCATGGTCTTTGGTCCATCAGGGAGACTTCACCTCATTTTGCCACGTGGTCTTCCAGCTGGTGTGGTCTGCACTTGAAGAGCAGATAGCCATCCAGTTTGAGAGTGGGAACATGGCTTTGGGCCCAGTAGCTGTAGGGTTGGTGGGGGAGTGTGTCTTTAGGAATGTAGAAAGTCATAGCTTTGGGGGCAGCAGCTAAGGGTTGCTTGGGGAGTGTGTCTGTGGGAATGTAGAAAGTCATGGCCTTGGGGTTGGCAGCTGTAGGGTTGGTGGGGGATTGTGTCTGTGGAAATGTTAGAAAGTGTGGAAGTTTCATGGGCTAGTGCCCTGCTTACCTGTTCTTCTGACTGGTGTGACATGCACATGAGCAGGGGACATCTGCCTGAAATGGGGGCTAGATTTGGGGCACGTTCTTTTTCTAAATGAGAACATATCCTGTGCCATTGTACGTTGGAAATCCGTAATTTCTTTCTTGATTTTACAAGATGTGACAGTCAAGAGATTGTCCTGAGGTTCAGAAGAGACTGTGGATATTTACGCTGTTTGTGCTGTTACAGATTATGAGGATCATGGAGGTTAAACTCAATGTATTCTTTTTTTAAATTTTTTCTTTGTAGTGATTCTTATCTCATACAATACATCCTGACAGCAGCCTCACCTTCCTCCACTCCTTCCAGCCAATCCCCCTACCCCCAAATCCCCATTCTCCCGGATGCACTGCTGTTGTTTCTCTTCAGAAAAGGACAGGCCTCCCAGGGATAGCAAACAAACACACCATAACAAAGTGCCTTAAGACTAGTCACAAGCCCTCATATCAATGCTGGACAAGCTAACCCAATAGGAGGAAAGGGGTCACAAGAACAGGCAAAAAGTCAAGAGAAACCATGACTCCAACAGTTAGGAGTCCCACAAACACCCCAAGTTAAACAACCATATCATGTTTGCAGAGGACCTGGCACAGAGCCTTGCAGGGTCCATGATTGCCACTTCAGTTTCTCTGAGGCCCTATGAGCCCTGCTAAGTTGATTCTGTGGGCCATGTTCTGGTTTCCTCAACCCCTCTGGCTCCTACAATCCTCTCCCTTTCCTTCCACAGGATTCCAAGCTCAAACTAATATTTGAGTAGGGAATCTGCATGTGTTCCCATCAGCTGACAGAAGAAGCCTCTCTGATGACAGTTGGGCTAGGCACAAATATATGATTATAGCAGAAAATATGTACAAATCATTTCACTTTTTCTTCCTTGGTGAGTTGTATATGGTTCTCCCCTAGGTCTGAGCATCTTAGTTCCCCTTCTTGGCCTTCCAGGCAGTGTTAGCATGGGCTTCCTTTCACAGCTTGGGCTTCAGGTTAGACCAGTCATTGGTTGGCCACTACAGAAGCAAAGAGCCACCATTGCCCCAGCATATCTTCCAGGCAGGACAAGTGTGGGTCAAAGGTTTGTGGTTTGCTTGGTGTCACAGTCCCACCATTGGGATCTTTATGTGGTTACAGAAGGTGGCTGGTTCAGCCTCCATATTCTTGATTGCTGGGAGTCCTCATTAGGGTCACCCTTCTAGGTTCCAGGAAATTTGCTCTGCACTGCTTCCATAGCCCCTAATAAGCTTTGCTGTTCCAGTCATCTCTGCCTGACTTCTCTCTCTGTGTCCCTTCCTTACACACCCCATCCTTCCTCTTCCCATCCCCAGCTGCCTCTGGTGCACCTACAACATCTATTCTATTTCCTCTTCCCAGGGAGAGCCATGCATCACCCCTATTGCCGTTCTTGTTACTGGGCCTCTCAGCATCTTTGGATTGTATGTACTGTGATTAACTGTGATTACTGTGACTGTACTTCAATTAACTACTAATATCCACTTATAAGTGAGTATGTACCATGTTTGTCTATGTGCTTCTGGGTTGCCTCACTCAGGATAATAAAGAACTCAAGAATCTAGACAACAACAAACCAAATAGTCAAATTAAATTGGGGTACACCTCTAAATAAAATTCTCAGTAGAAGAATCTAAAGTGGCTGAGAAACACTTGTAGAAATGTTCAACATCCTTTGCCATCAGGAAAATGCATATCAAACCTACTTTGGGATTCCACTTTATACCTGTGAGAATGGTTAAGTCCAATAACACAAGTGACAGCTAATGCTGGCAAGGACATGGAGCAAGGGGTTTTATTGCTGTTGCAGGTGTGGAAATCAATATGCAATCCTCAGAAAATTGGGAGTCAATCTCCCTCAAGACCTAGTTAGCTATAGCCCTCTTGGGCATGTACCTAAATGATGCTCCTCCATCCTACCACAAGGACACTTGTTCAACTATTTCCATAGTGGCATTATTCATAATAGCCAGAAACTGCTGTGTCTGTGAGAGTCTGTGTTGATTAATGATTGATGTGGGAAGGCTCCTCCACTGAGGGTGGAATTATCCCTAAGAAAGTGGACCTACCTAGGCTGAAAAGGGAGCTATCTGATCATGAGACAGTAACTGGGCAAGAGAGAAAGCCAGGAAACAATCTTTGCCCATGGGTTTTGCCTTCAGTTATTAGCTTGAGTTTCTATCCTAAGCTCCCAAAATGGTGGCATGTGATCTGACAGAATCAGCCAAATAAACCTGTTCATTGCCTGAGATGCTTTTGGTTAGTAGATATAATCCCAGCAGCATACAAGCATGTTAGAATAGAAAAATGGAACAGGAAACATGATGTTGTTGCTAGGTAGAACCTGGGATGTTTTCTTTTGGAGAAATGTGGAAGATATCAGGACTTTAGGTAGCAAAAGCAATAGAAAGTTGTACACACAACTTAATTGTCTGTTCTTGTAGGATCAGGAAGATGGGAATGTTGAGAGTAATGGCAGAAAGTGGAGGTTGAGATCACAGGATTTCAGTCAGAAATAGGCTCAATGAAAAATTAAGGTAGACATTATTGTTGTGGTATTTTGGCTCCAATATCTTTCTTATTCTGCCAATGCCCTGGAAATTAAGTATGACAGAATTAAAAAATAATGCGATAATTTCTTTTTTTTTTAAGATTTATTTATTTATTTATCATATATACCATGTTCTGTCTGCATTTATGCCTGCAGGACAGAAGAGGGCACCAGATCTCATTACCAGTGGGTATGAGCTACCATGTGGTTGCGGGGAGTTGAACTCAGGATCTGTGGAAGAGCAGCCAGTACTCTTAACCTCTGAGCTATCTCTCCAGCCCATGATAATTTCTTAAATGGAACATTGAATCTTGGTTGCTTGGTTATTATTGGTGACTCACTGAGGCCTACAGTTAAAAAAATAAAAAAAATAAGTCAACAAGTTGGGCAGAAATAAATGAAAATGAAAAGGTAGTTTCAGATAGCAGTCAAGTGTTGAAACAGGCAGGAATTTTCAAGGAGTTTATCACCATTATAAAGAAGGCCCTTGCCGGGCGGTGGTGGCCCACACCTTTAATCCCAGCACTCGGAAGGCAGAGGCAGGCGGATCTCTGTGAGCTCAAGGCCAGCCTGGTCTCCAAAGCGAGTTCCAGGAAACGTGCAAAGCTATACAGAGAAACCCTGTCTTGAAAAACAAAAAACAAAACAAAACAAACAAAAATGTCTTTAGGAGCTGGAGAGATGGCTCAGCAGTTAAGAGCACTGACTGCTCTCCCAGAGGTTCTGAGTTGAATTCCCAGGAACCACATGGTGGCTCACAACCATGTGTCATGCGATCGGGTGCCCTCTTCTGGCCTGCAGGGATACATGCAGACAGAACACTGTATACATAATAAATAAACAAATCTTTAAAAAAAAAAAAAGGCCCTTGCTCTGGAATGGAATCCTAGTAAGGTACCCTAAGGGTAAGACCATATCCAGCTAAACCTTTAATTATGGAAGGAGTAAGCAAAGTGAATTCTAGTCCCAGGAAGCAACTTCATACAAAACCTGCTGCACCTGTGGTCCAAGTGTGTTAGTGTCCATCCCAATAAAGAAGTCAAATTTTGCAGAATCACTTATCATGTGCTGGTCCTGGAAACAAGAAAGAATCAAAAATTAAGGTCATGAATTCTTAGTCTTACTGTTCCAGGTTGCAGTTCAGCATTGTTGCAGGCATCAATGTTTAGCAGGGTTAGAAACCTAGTTAAGAGACTGTGAGAGGTCATTGCATGAAGCTGTGAGAATGAACCTGGTGTTGGTTTTTTGTTTTTTGTTTTGTTTTTGTTTTGTTTTTTTACTCCTTTGTGGGTCTGCCACCTAGCTCTCAAATAAATTACTGAGATGGAGGCTTATTCTTTTTTATAAATGCCCGGTCTTAGCATGGCTTGTTTCTAGCCAGTTTTGCTTAACTTAAATTATCCCATCTATCTTTTGCCTCTGGGCTTTCTGTAGTCTGTATACCTTTCTTACTTCTTTCTGCCTGGCTTGCTGATTAGCTAGGTGGCTGGTCCCTGGGGTCCTCTTCTTGCTCCTCCTTCTTTTTTCCTCCCATATTTCTCTTCCCATTTTTCTCTCTGCTTGCCAGCCCAGCCTATTCTTTCCTGCCAAGCTACTGGCCATTCACCTCTTTATTAGACCAGTCAAATATTTTAGACAGGCAAAGTATCACAGCTTCACAGAGTTAAACAAATGCAACATAAAAGAATACAACACATCTTTGCATCATTAAAACAAATGTTCCACAGTATAAACAAATGCAACACATCTTAGCACAATATTCCACAACAGCCTGGGTTTCATTTTGAGACCACAAGATGTTGAGATACCTAAGCTATGAGACATCTTCCATGGAGACCTAGCTGAATATAGTGAATGGAAGTAACCAAAGAGAGAGATGTATGAGAAATTGCAGGGATAGGGTCATCCAAGCCCTTTGAAACTGAAGTTCCATGCATCTGAGACAGAACTACAGGATTTGATGTTTGTCCTGCTGTGCTTCATTCTTAACCTGGTCCAATCTTCACTCAGAAGTTCTCCATTTATCTTTTGGAATGTGAATGGTGTTCTGTGTAATTGTTGGAAAGATATGACTTGCTTTCTGATTTTATGTGTTACTGTCAAGAGTTTGTCTTGCATGTCAGAAGAGACTTTGGACATAGAACAGCTCAGGGTCTGTTGCAGACTATGAGGATCATTGAAGTGACTAAATGCCTTTTCTTCATGGATGACTATGAGTCTATAGTGACATTAGACCCAGTCTAATGTGACTGGGTCACATTGTAGTTGATTGAATGAAAACTTCCCAGATAGGATGATATATTTGAACATGTGTATCTCCTTGGTGATTTTCTTTTGATTGCTTGTGACACCTTTAGTAGGAAGAGCCTTTCTGGATGAAATTCTCATTGGGGATGGGATAGCCTCAACCCATTGACTGTTCTTTGTATCTACTGTTGTGATTGAATCTAATCAGCCTGCTTCCTTCTTGTGCTGTCATGCCTTCACCACCATAATAGTCTCTACCCATAAATTACATAAATACAGTAGAAGCCATTACTATTCAGTGCTGAGTCAGTTTGGTAGCCTGCTGTTTTAATATGTTTTCTTTTCTTTTTTTTCTTTTCTCTTTTTTTGTTCTTTTGTTTGCTTTTTTTTTTTTTTTTTTTGGTTTTTTGAGACAGGGTTTCTCTGTATAGCTTTGCGCCTTTCCAGGAACTCACTTGGTAGCCCAGGCTGGCCTCGAACTCACAGAGATCCGCCTGCCTCTGCCTCCCGAGTGCTGGGATTAAAGGCGTGCGCCACCACCGCCCGGCTTTTTGTTTGCTTTTTAAGACAAAGTTTGTCTGTCTTGCCCTGGCTGTCCTGACAGTAGTTCTGATCAACAGGCTGGACTTGAACTCAGAGATACCCCTGACTGTGGCTCCCTAGTGCTAGGATTAAAGATGGATCAATATTACTGGGTTTTTTGTTTTTATATTATTGGGTGATGGGCCTGGAATATTCATTTTTGTACATGTCAAACATATGCTGTTGTACCGAAGTTCCCCCATATGTTTAATTTAAAATTTGGCAGAGGGTATAATTCTGTTTCCCTGGATGGCAAATATTCATGACATTAATACCGCATGAGCCTTCTGAGTTATTAGGTACGTCTAGGATGTCATGCAGGTACAGGACCTTCTTCCTGCCTGTTGTGTTTATTTTGATATTTTTTAAAATGAATATGAGTGTTTTACCTGAATGTATGGTTATGCACCACATGGTTACCTGGTCCTCATAGTGATCAAAAGCTGGTCTGAGACACCCTGAACTTGGAGTAATAGATAGTTTTGATTCCCCCATGTAAGTACTGGCAATTAAGCCCACCTATATGCAAGACCAGCAAGAGCTCCTTACTACTGAGCGATCTCCTGACCTGTGTTGATTATTTATGATCAACATTTATATTGCTAATGTTTCCATCTGTCCATTAAAAATTGTTTGTACATGCAGAGTCTTTCAGTAAAATTTTATTGATGTTAGAGTTTAAATTGGGCAATTCAGGTTTCTGGAAGATGAGTACAGAACTGGAGTGAATGCATAACTCTTTATAGGAAATGAGTAAAAAACTCTGAGTTCTTTCTTTCTTTCTTTCTTTCTTTCTTTCTTTCTTTCTTTCTTTCTTTCTTTCTTTCTTTTTGGTTTGTTTCAACTCAGGGTTTCTCTGAGACAGTCCTGGCTATTCTGGAACTCACTCTGTAGACCAGGCTGGCCTCAAATTCAGAGATATCCACCTGCCTCTGCCTCACCAGTGCTGGGATTAAAGGCATGTGTCACCACCACCTGGCAATTCTTTCTAACTTTTTTGTTTATTTGGCTGATTTTAGCATGGGAGTGAGCATCTTAATATGTATTTCTGCCTGTCCTGGAACAGATTGCATAAACTAGGCTGACATTTAAGTCAGAGGCAAATATACCTGCCTCTGCCCTTTGAGTGCTGGGGTTAAAGGCATGAGCCAATACACTCAGCTTTCCATCTTATTTTTCTTTTTTGTAGTGAGTAATTGTTCATACAATTTCTCTCATGTGTACTCTGTACTGTTGATCTTTTTACTTGTCTATGTTTGTTAATACACATTTCTCTTGCAAGGTGATATGCCATCTAAAGTGACTTGGAAATTCCATTATAATGTCTATGTCATGAAATAAGTGTGGGGAGCACCAGAATTATATGACTGTGTTGTTAAAGAAGTATACATATGCAATGTCATCAGTATCATACTTTCTGTTGTACACATGTATGGGATATTTTAGAATACAGTGACCTATGATGATGTGCATGTTGACTTCACTTTGGAAGAGTGGACTTTGCTGGATCCATCTCAGAAGACTCTCTACAAAGATGTGATGCTGGAGACCTACAGTAACCTCACTGCTATAGGTAAGACTAAATTTTCCTTCATGTTTAAAATAGGGGAGAACTGTTCCTTGGTTAGTGATGCTTTTCTGTTGTTTGATTGAGAAAGAAGAATGAGGTGAATAATTCAGGCATGGTTCTAAGGTTCACTAAAGATATTAAGTTAAATTTTGTCCAATTTTCAATAATATACCATACATTTTCTGGTACTATATTTTAGGATACAGTTGGGAAGACCATAATATTGAAAAACACCATCAAAATTCTAGAAGACATGAAAGGTAATTTTCATGTGCAAGCTGATACAAATATGCCTCTGAAAAAACTGTAATGTGTCCTGAAAGTTTTAAATGAAAGTAACAGTGTACATAAGCACAGCTTAAAGTACATTGATGATTATTAGATTCACTTAAAACCATATACCTCAGTTTTAGGTAGGTGAATTTCACTTGGAAGGCAGTCTTTTAAGAAAGAAGACAAGGAAACAATGCCTTAACAGATATCACCATTTGAATCCTAGCACCATGAGAGACTGCCAATCCATTTATTTCATACTACTCATATTATAAAACGTATACACAATGAAGAGGTCATAAGTATATCGTCAACCCCCTAATAAGCGTAATCCATGCTAAAGCTAGCATTGTGCATAAACTCTTTGTGACTGCTAAATTTAGTGAGGGGGCAGTTAGAGTCAAGTGTCAAGGGGCAGTTGTGGTGGAGAAACTTTAATCACTCTATCACATGTCTGTGAGGAACAGAAAATCAAACTGTGTGAATTCAATGTGGAAACTTTTTTATTTGTTATTCTATTTTACTAGGTATATCATATGTCACTCTGGATACAAGACATATGAGCACAGGGATAAGGAAAGATGTAACACACTTCTCTCTCAGAACAATTAGAAGATATATAGGAGTGTCCATGTTGAGTATACTTGTTCAATTTGATTCAAGTATACAAGTAATTGGTTTTCCAGCTCCTTTGTTAATACATCAACAAACTCACACTGTAGAAAAGCTGTATGAGTACTAGAACTGTGTAAATACTTCTCTTTGTCCTATTTCACTTAGCAAATGTAGTATGACTCATAGTTATAGAAAAGTTTTTGAACAGTCATTGTAAATTCTGAGGTTTTCCAGTTTTCTTGAAATAAGTACAAAAAAATCTTATACAGAAAAAGATTCTGTAAATGTGTACCTTCTAAAAAATAATCTAACCATCACAAGTATCTTCAAAAATGCAAAACAACCACTCATGAAGAGGAACAACATGAGTGCAAACACTGATAAAATCTTAACATGGGATTCCTCTTTACAAATGTACCAAACTGCAAAATCAGTTCATACAGATGTAAAGATTCAGTAATGTACTGAATGTGCTAAAGCTTTTACATGTGCTGATTTTCTTTGCAGGCATGAAGGAAGCCATACTGGAGAGGAACCTTCTATATATACTCAATGTGTTAAAGTCTTTGCATACGACAATCATCTTCATAGGCATGGAAGAACACATACTGGAGAGAAACCCTATGAATGTAATCAGTGTGGAAAAGCCTTTGTATGTTCCAGTAGTCTTCAAAGACATAAAACAACACATACTGGACAGAAACCCTATGAATGTAATGAATGTTGTAAAGCCTTTGGACAAAAGCGTCATCTTCAAAGACATAAAAAAACACATACTGGAGAGAAACCCTATGAATGTAATCAATGTGGTAAAGCCTTTGGACAAAAAGAGTATCTTCAAATGCATAAAAGAACACATACTGGAGAGAAACCCTATAACTGTAATCACTGTGGTAAAGCGTTAGCTACAAAGAAAAATCTCCAATTACATATAAGAACCCATACTGGAGAGAGACCTTATGAATGTAATGTGTGTGGTAAAGCCTTTACACAACAGGGTTATCTTCAAATGCATAAAAGAACACATACTGGAGAGAAACCTTATGAATGTGATCTTTGTGGTAAAGCCTTTGCATTTCCCAATAACTTCCAAATGCATATGAAAACACACACTGGAGAAAAACCTTATCAATGTAATCAATGTGGTAAAGCCTTTGTACAACAGGGTGGTCTTCAAATTCATAAAAGAACCCATACTGGAGAGAAACCCTATGAATGTAATCTATGTGGTAGAGCATTCTCTACACAGAAAATTCTCAAATTACATACAAGAACCCATACTGGAGAGAAGCCTTATGAATGTAATCTGTGTGGTAAAACCTTCTCTACACAGAGTAGTCTCCAAGCACATAGAAGAACCCATACTGGAGAGAAACCCTATGAATGTAATCAGTGTGGCAAAGCCTTTGCATTACGTAGTAGTCTCCAAGGACATAGAAAAACACATACTGGAGAGAAACCGTATGAATGTAATCAGTGTGGTAAAGCCTTTGCATTTCACAATAAACTCCGAATACATGAAAGAACACACACTGGAGAGAAACCTTATGAATGTAATCAATGTAGTAAAACCTTTTCTTCACAGAGAAGTCTACAAGCACATAGAAGATCACATACTGGAGAGAAACCCTATGAATGTAATCAGTGTGGTAAAGACTTTGTCTATTCTAGTAGTCTTCGAAAACATTTGAAAAAACCATACTGCAAAGAAACCCAATAAATATAGTCATTGTTGTAAAGTTTGCATTTTACATAGAAATAAACCTTTTGTGTGCAATCAATGCATTAAAGCCTTTGCATAGTACAATAGTATTTGGGGACCTGAAAAAAAATACTGGGGAATTCTTAATATGAAGTATTTGTTTAGATGTTTAGTCAACACACTTACATTCAGTTATACAACAGTATTCTGTAGAAAAAAATCGACAGTGTCAACAATCTGTTCAAGCTTTATGATGTCAACTTTAATATTGTCTGCACCTGCAAACTCATGGAAAAAATAAATTTCTGTATTTATGAAGCCCTATGTGTAGGGTAAAAGGGCCAGCCAAAGAAACAGATCCTAACGCTGAAACCAGAGCCAGTGAGACACACACACACTTTGGTCCTGAAACCAGAGCCAAAGAAAAACACATGAGTAGCATGAAACCAACCAATCCTTGAGCAGGAAAGTCAACCAGTCCCTAACATGAAATCCAGCCAATCTAAGATTGTCAAAGGTCAGAGTTTGTAATGAGACCAATTCCCACCCTGAAAATATTTTTAGTGGAAAAACTCCACCCCTAAGAATCCCTATAGCCATGTGCATGTTCAGTTGGAAGGTGCCCTTTCCCACCACTCTCCTGGATTCTCCCCTCCTCAATAAATATCTTGAATGAGTTTTGTGTGAAAAGCTTTTTTCTCCATCATGGAGCATAGTCTCTCTGGGGAAACGCCCTAGTGGAGCCCAGCAGAGAAGCAATAGAATCCCCTTAGTTGTGTGAAGCACAGAAGTAACAATTTAGGCCAGTGCTGAGAAGAAACAGACATCTCTGCTGGGAAACTCCCTAATGGAACCGAGCAGAGAAGCAATGCACACCTCTGCTGGGAAAGTATTAGAAGAATATTGCAAAGTGGTAACAGACAGAGTAGAGGGGAGCAGAGCTGTCATGGTTCTCTGTCAGAGACAGGAGGATTGCCACAACCTGCGTGGAGACCATCCCACATGGGAACGCAGCTTCAGGTATATTCTGACTTCCTCCAACTTAGGATTTCTTTCTCCTCAAGCTGTAGGTATTCAGGAGACCTTCCTTTCACAACTATAGAAATGGCCTGATTTCTGACAGTCAGGGTAACTTTCCCTCTATAACAGTCTCACTTATAATATGAATTTAAACAATAATGTAACCGTTTTAGATATCATTGTTCTCTTCAATTACAGGAAACAACTAATACAGGTGTAAAGCTTTATGGATTGGCATTACGTTCTATTCTGTTACATTTATATAATGTATTGATATAATTTGGCTCAGGTTCCAGAGGGCTACAGGTCCACCATGAAAGTGGCATGGCAACAAGTGTCAGACATGGCAGCTAAATCAGGAGGCTAAGAAATCACATCCTTAACCTGCAGCATGAAGCAAAGCCTGGGAACTGGAGATGGTGCATGGGTGTAAATTCTCAAAACATACCCCTGTGACATATTTCCTCCAGAACGGCAGCATTTCCTAACTTCCCAAATGATACCACCAACCTAAAAGGGTTGATTTCTCTGACTTCGGGCCTCCATGCTTGCTTTCTCTTACATGAACCAATTCATGATAAAGAAAAGCTCTCTAAGTTAGATGTTAGATGGCACAACTCCTGTGTTACAGGAATGAATGCTTTCAAGAAAAACTTTCAAATTCGATTTTCTTTAAATCCATCACTATTCTATCTCTTATTTGTTCCTATTCCTCATTGTTTCCAGGCCATTAAGAGTTTCTCGCCGGGCAGTGGTGGTGTATGCCTTTAATCCCAGCACTCGTTAGGCAGAGCCGGATGGATCTATGTGAGTTCGAGGCCAGCCTGGTCTCCAAAGCGAGTTCCAGGAAAGGCGCAAAGCTACACAGAAAAACCCTGTCTCGAAAAACCAAAAAAGAAAAAGAAAAAAAAGAACAAAAAGAGTTTCTGTCCATTTTTCTCAAGTTCTGTTGCTTATATTTTCTGTTTAGAGCAATGTCTCCTGTAGCTTAGGCTTGCCTCACACCATGTAGTTGAGCCTTGCTCTGAATACCTAATCCTACTTCTGCTGCCCAATGCTGGAATGATAGTCCTACAACTACTTCAAGGTTGGGCCTTAACTGGTGAGTGAGAAGGAAAAAATAGACCAGTTATTGAGTGTCCTCCAAATTCTCTGGATTTTACTGCAAACTTGCAAATGAAGAGAGACCTGTGTAAGAATTGGGTTCACTGAACAACTGTAAAGGAGGTTAGTCACAGAAAAGAAAGGGATCGGCAAGAAGGAGCATGAAAACTCTCCTCCTTTGACTAGCTCACATTAGAAATAAGTAGTGAGGTAATCAACTTTAGATGATCAATAAATGTCCTGACTGGCCATTTCTTGGGTCCACAGGCCAGGGAACCAAAAATCTGGATAAACCACTGAGCTTACCATGAAACCAAATTACAGTAGTTACACTAATTCAAGCAAAATAGACCTGGAAAACTGGTGTGGCTCCTCCTCAAAGACCTGTTGTTTTACAGGTTTAAGATGTACAGCCTGAGAGAAAATGTGTGACTAACACTTGGTGTGCTGTAACACAAATCCCTAGTTGTTGGAGCACACATGGCCATAAAGTCTATTTCAACCTTTTGAAGTAAATTTTGAGGATTATAATTACATCATCTCCATTATCTCTTTCTTGCCTCTAAGCCTTGCATAGACACTTCATTGTTCTCTAATTCATGACCTCTTTTTGCTTTAAGAACAGTTACTGTTTGAATGTGACCTATGTTTGGCTGCAGGACTTCTGAGCTATGAAGCAAAGAGTTGGTTGTACTAGTCAGTGACTGTAGAATGGAATATGCACACAAGCGATACCATATCTTGGGAGAAGAACAGGAAGTGCTCGGAGAGATTGGAAGAATTTCTCTTACAATACAGATATCCTGGACTGTCTGCCGCTAGGGTAGAAGGGCAGAGCTGGGAAGGCCTGTGCTGCCTTTGTCATTTGATCTCTGCTCATCTAGTGGGAGTCCCCACTGTCCCAAGGCCCAGGTGTGTATACTGTCTGTTTAGGGACTCCAGGCAAGCCTAGCAATCAGGAGCTCTAGTGGGAGGTGGATTGTGGGGTTTTTCTAGCATTTTCCTCTAATGTAACTATAGGAAGCAGCGAGGGGGACCATAAGCAATGCCAGGGTGAGTGGAGGCACATTGCCTTGCTCTCGAGGAGCTTGTTCGCTGAGCTGTCTGTCATCTGGGAGTTGGATAGACCATGAGACAGTCTGGTTCCGTTGGTCCATGTGTTGACCCAGGTAGTGGCCCTTCTCCTCTAAGCCCCCCTTTGTGTGTATTCCCTAGGAATGGGGAGGCTCTGCAGGCCTGGCTAGGGAGATGTGGTGTGTATATTATCACTGTCCTGTGTCAACACACTGGCATTGCTTTTGGTGTGCAGTGGGAAGACAGATTGGAAAAATGAAGACATGGTTTGTAGAAATTCTTAACATTGCATTTCACAGTTTGTATGGTAAGTTCTACAAATAGTTTAGAAACTGGCAGAAAGGAGGTAATGGGGGGTCATCTTTCAGATATTCTTGATTAGAATGCTTTTTAACTTTGCTCTATCACCAGCCACAATGGCATGATTCAGAGATATTCAATTCCAGGGAACAAAAGGATTATCTGAGCTGCAGAGGTTCCTTGGGTGTCCATGGTGTTGGGCAGGTGGATAAGGCAGATTCCACATCTTGTGCCATAATCCATGTGACAGGAAGCAGACATTATTCTTCAACACTGTTTTGTGTGTGGGCGTCAGTCAGACCGGGTTTGCCTGAAACCACAAGAGGGACTGAGGGGATGGATAGGCCATAGCCAATCTTTCTGATCACCTTCATTTCCAGAGAGCTCTAGAGAATGTGGGCTCTCTGATTGGAAGAGAGATCAGTAGTAGCTGTAGAGTCAGAAATATATCAGTTTAGGGGTCATTTTGAGTTATTTTTATGTGAGTTGTGCAGTTTGTTCTTATGTAGTTTCTATAGATGTACAGTCATAGGTAACTTGGTTCAAGTTCACATTTTTCCTGGTTGGGTTTCCTTAAGGCTTTTGATGAAACCTTGAGTATATTTTTGTGCTTTTGTTCTTGGCTTTTTCTATATCCTTATTCTTTCACAAATATTGTACACATTCTTCATTGTTCTGGTTGCGTTAAATACAAAAGTCACATGTCAATGTGTGTACCAGTTTGTCTTAATCCTATTAAGAATTTTGAGCATTTTCCCCCTTGCCCCACCGGGCCCGCAGGTCTGTGGAGCCGCGGTCGCAGGTTGCTGTTCCGCAGGATGGGGTTTGTGAAAGTTGTCAAGAATAAGGCCTACTTTAAGAGATACCAAGTGAGATTTAGAAGGCGGTGAGAGCGTAAAACTGACTACTATGCTCAGAAACGATTGGTGATCCAAGACAAAAATAAGTACAACACACCCAACTACAGGATGATAGTTCGTGTAACCAACAGAGATATCATCTGCCAGATTGCCTATGCCCGTATAGAAGGGGACATGATCATGTGCGCAGCATATGCACACGAGCTGCCTAAGTACAGCGTGAAAGTCAGCTTGACAGATTATGTTACTGCCTATTGCACTGGCCTGCTGCTGGCCCACAGGCTTCTCAGTAGGTTTGGCATGGACAAGATCTATGAAGGCCACGTGGAGGTGACTGGAGATGAATACAGTGTGGAAAGCATTGATGGTCTGCCTGGTGCCTTCACTTGCTATTTGGATGCAGGTCTTGCCCGAACTACTACTGGCAATAAAGATTTTGGGGCCCTGAAGGGAGCTGTGGATGGAGGCTTGTCTATTCCTCATAGTACCAAATGATTCCCTGTTTTCATGATTCTGAAAGCAAGGAGTTCAACGCAGAAGTACACCGTAAGCACATCATGGGTCATAATGTTGCAGACTACATGCACTCCCTGATGGAGGAAGACGAAGATGCTTATAAGAAACAGTTCTCTCAGTACCTCAAGAACAACGTGACTCCAGACGTGGAGGAGATGTATAAGAAAGCTCATGCTGCTATCTGAGAGAATCCAGTCTATGAGAAGAAGCCCAAGAAAGAAGTAAAGAAGAAGAGGTGGAACCGACCCAAAATGTCTCTTCCCCAGAAGAAAGGTCCGGTTGCTCAAAAGAAGGCGGGCTTCCTCAGAGCTCAGGAAAGGGCTGCTGAGAGCTAAAGCAATTTTCTATGAAGGTTTTTTCATAAAGATAATAAACTCATTGACTAAGCAACCATTTCTGTGTTGATTAAGCTGTTATTATGAAACCGTAGGGGATAGCATAAAGGCATGAAAGCCAAGGAGTGGAGTTCAGATCCACTTGCCTTTGTTGGGATTAAGGGCAAGTAACACCACCTGGCTGAGAAGTTTTTTCCTCCCACAAAACAAGCTTAGTTCCCCCCCCCCCCCCCGAAAAAGCCATCTTGCATGACTCCAGCAGCGCTCTTGGGTTTCTAGTCTTCCTGGAAGGAGTCACTATCCTTTAGCTTGTCAAATCTGGTAAGCAACAGACCCCTGACAATGCAGTTGAATGACAATGAAGTTCACAGATTTCACAATTTGAGCCAAAAGGGTTGTGGCTTTTCTAGTTTTCATTTTACGCAGCTGTTGAAAGCTATGTGCCAGACCTGAATATACATAGGAAAATAAATTGGAAGGGTCAAATACTAAACCTTGAATTTACAAGGGAAAGAACTAGGTGATACAATTTATGTCTTTTAAGAAATAGCCCTTCATCCCACAAGAAGTAAAAATTGTCTTCCGTGATTTATACCAGTCTGGATTTATCTGTATGTCAGCTGAGGTGGTTCAGGGTTTGATCACCTCTGGTCTTAAAATGTCAGGCTCTGCTTTGTGGAACTTGGCACTTCATGAAAACAGTCACTACATCCCCAGTCTAAGATGTCTGTTGGTTGGTTGATTTCTAAGATGATACCATCAGATCTAATTTCAGTCACAGTGGTAACTGCATGTTAACTTGTGGAATACATGGTGAAGCTAAGTCACTCTAACCGTTTCCTCCATCTGAAGTTAAAATGTATAAGTATAATACAATAAACCATGCTATAAATCCAACCTTTTAATAAAAGGAGTCATTTAAAAAAAAAGAATTTTGAGTTTTTCCACATGGCACATAGCTTTGGATTCAGCTATCCTGTCATATTTTGTGAATTTCCTGTGGATTATATTGAATTTGTGTTGTAAATCGGACATGTTTAACATCATCTTGTTGTTAAAAATACATAATTTTAATAGTGTTATTTGCAAAAGTATAAAAGGGTAAATTATACTATTGTGTATAATCACTTTTAGCAAATATAGGAAATTGTAAAACTGATTTGAAATAATGTACCAAGACATAGAAGGAAGATGGCAGTATAGTTTAGTGACAGAATACATTGTTGTGTTCACATGAAAGATATCGCATTAAGTGTAATATATTTATGGAAGCAAAAAATAGTAAAACGTGATCCAGAATTTCACAATGAACTGAATGTGACATGGGATTGTGTAATGGTGTGCAAAATAATCTCTGATAGCAGTAGGTTGGGATTTTCCATACATATCAACTAAAATTAGTTCAAAGCATGTTGCATTGGAATAGTTGTTATAAAATTGCACATATTTAGTGTGAGGATAGTGATGCATTTCGACATAGTACCTATACCCAAGCAACCCCATTACACCAAATAAGAATTAACTATGTTCCTCAGATGTTCTCTTTAGTGACGTTAGTAGACTATCTGAAGGTAAATGATATAAAATCAGTGGTTAATTTTAGTGTACTGAAAATAGCACAAGTCTTCAGTTATATGACTAATAGTACTTAAAAACAGAGCAAAGTTCTTACACTAAAAAGTACAATATTTTGTCAGGCAATGGTGATGCATACGAGAAATCCCAGCACTTAGGAGGCAGAGACAGGTGGATCTCTGAGTTTGAGGACAGCCTTGTCTACAGAGCTAGTTCCAGGGCTCCAGAATGAAAACCCTGTCTTGGAATACTGAAAAAAAAATGTATAAATTGCTGTTAATTATACTAGGTGCATAAGACTCTTCACTTAGTAAATTACAACCAATGAATATAAGCAAGTATATATTAAGGTTTTCTACAGACATATTTCCTGAGAGAATTTATCAAAATTCTTGTAAGTAATAATAATGAAAAAAAAAAGCCATGGAAAATAATACTCTGACTTAATATAATTTATTAAGTGTTATAAATATATGTAACTCTTAACTTCATAGAAATTGCATAAAGGTAAGATTTCATGTACATAAGTGAGTAAAGAGCTTGTGGGTAAACTTAAGCAGAACAAAATGAAATTTCAAAGGAAGGTGTTCATCCCAGCTATTATCCTATTGCTTAAATTCTATACAAAAAAAAAAAAAGTGGACAAGAAGGTAACAGGACGTGGATATGACCAAAGCACATTTTATACTTACATAAAAGCATCATAATGAAATCCATGTTGTGCATAATTAATGTATCCCAACAGACACATTTTTAAAAAAACTTTCAGTGGCTCATGAGGTTGACCTCATGCCTCAGCACACACGGAGGGGCACTCACACAATTATACACTCACATGCAGAGACTCAAACAAATAGAAATTAAACCTGTATGGCAGATACATGAAATGGCATGTGCATTTAAAAAAATTCAGACCAGAAGAATACACTCTTAAAACCTATCCTCAGGGTTCCTACTGTCATACATGGTCTAGTTTATGTTTTGGTGCTGGAAGTGAGGCAAGATCTCAGGGATATTTATCATGACCTTGTTCTACCTCTTTCTCACATGCCCTTCACTATAGTATAGGCTGATCAGGAAAGGGTCAGGAAAAGCTGATGCGCTATTGTATGGTGAGGAATCGAACACCCACAGCAGCTTTTGCCTACACTCCCATGTGTGTGTGTGTGTGTGTGTGTGTGTGTGTGTGTGTGTGTGTGTGTCTCCCTTGTTGATCTGTGCTGTGATAACAGGAGTGATGCAAGAAGTGGAAACAATGATCACACAGGAAAGGACCAAGATTGTGTACAGTGCGCTGCTTCATTAGATCAGTGCTATTCGCTGCCATAACTACCTTACTTCCTGAGTGAGTCCCCCAACACAGGACTTCCAGAGCTCTCAGTGAGGCTAACTGGTTTGAGGAGACCCCAGGTGCCCATTCCAGCAGTGAGAAGATTTTAAGGAAAAATTTTCTGACAGAGGGAGCCCTTCTTCATCCTCACCGGACCTGAAAAATGTTTGCTGACATCCTTCTCCACAGGGAACCCTCTCCTGTGCATGTGACCTCCCTCTGCCTCTTGCCATCACTACCCCTGCCCTCTACCACCTCTACCATCTTCTGTCTTCACAGTGGACAACATCCTCTCCACACAGAATTTGGGGCTATTCTAACTAGCCAGGAGGATGCAGGTAGGTTTCCAAACCCCTGGATGTTCACAGTTGCAGGTCTATAACAAGGAATAGCTATTTTTTTTTTATTTAATGTCATTTCTTTCACAAGACTTAAAGAATAGGTAAAATGATTGTTACCCCTAAGCAATTTGTTGTATCTCTAGTTCTTCCAATCACAGGTCTCTTGAAAACCTGACTAAATCTAGGTGCTTACAGAACATGGCCACCAACCAAACAGGAGTGTAGATGTATCCAACCTTCTTATTAAATAAGAAACACAGAACCAATGCAAAGAAGAAAGCCAAGAGGTCAGAGCTAAGAGCTAAAACCTTACCCTTCCTCCTGAGGTGGTCCTACCTCTCCGAACCAGAGCTACCCCTGTGTTAAAGTCTTTATATAGAGTTCCTGTCCTGCCTTCTCATTGGTTGTAAACCCAACCACATGACCGCCTCCTCACAGCCTGTCTGTATAGGCCTCCAGGTTTTCCATGATTGGTATTAAGATTAAAGGCATGTGTATCCAATAATGGCTGTATCCCTGAACACACAGAGACTTACCCAGCTCTGCCTACCAAGTGCTGGAATTACAAGTGTACGCTACCACTGCCCTGCTTTCTTATGGCTTGCTAATAGCTCTGACCCCTGGGCAACTTTATTTATTAACATACAAATAACATTTTAATACAAATAAAATATCACCATACAGGAGAAATATGATTCAGGGCTATTTGGGCATGGAGTAATGACACCAAGGGTGAAATGTCTGTGAAGCAGTTACTGCTCAATATTGCTAGCTCCTTTAGTATTTACTCTTTCATGTTATTGTAGCCCCTCCTCCCAAAAGCAAAACATACATTTCCTTTTTCCTATATTCAGTTTGACTTTAACAACTTTCTAAAAATGCAAACACTGATCAACACAGGAAATCTGCCCCCTGAACACTACATATTGCCCAGGTAGCATATCATAGGCATTCATGAGCACAAGGACCACTGGTCCTCTAGAAACAAGTCAGAGAGAAGCTACCTGATGGCCTTGGAAGTGTGGATGATGTCTTTGATCAGAGGCACATCCACAGTGATGTTCATGGTGACTATTCCGGCAAAGTAGAAAGTCTTCAGGGCCATCTCAGTGCCTGGCTCACCAAGGCTCTGCACAGAGGGCACCCACTGCAGAGACTGGCTCCATCTGTGTCCTAGAAGAAAGGGCACAGAAAAGGGTATGATGCACCAAGGAAAAGTCCATCAAAAATGCTGGAACAGACTTCAGGTTATTGCCTCTTAAAAGGAAATATATAGATCTTGTTGGGTTTAGGATGGATATAGCAATGGGCCAGGCATCGTTTGTGTCAGAGGAAGAGGCTGGCACAGCCAAGAACAAGAAGAGTGAGATGGTCAGTGTGACTAAATTCTGTGTGGTCAGCGTGTGTATACTGGGTGGATGTTCACTGTGTGGAGTAGTTCACAGTGGTCTGTTCTTGCTGTGTACTGAAGGTGACCAGAGACCTGGAATCTGCCATACATAACAAGAGTTTCCTTATGGGCGGAAGACATTCAGGAAATTCCTTTGCAGGTCCTTCCATGTAGAAGACCATCATCCAGTCTACAGTGCAATTGGAGACTCCAGAGTCAAGACACAAATCTGCTCTAAGCCTGGAAACGATGCTGGGGCAGTGTGCTTGTTAGATTTTATTATCAGACTGAGCCAGACTAAAGTCAACTGGGAAGAGGGACTCAAAATGAGGAACCATTTTGATCAGGTTGACTCTGGGCATGGCTGTGGGTTTTATAGGTTGTTAACTGAGATGGACAGATTCATTTCATTGGCAGGGACCTGAACTCTTTAACAATGGAAGAACCTGGTACATAAGAAGAGTCATTTGGGCAGCATGGGAGCATTCACATTTCTCCACTCTTGACAATGGATTTGATGTGACTAGCTGACTGAGTTTCTGCCTTGATTTCCCCAATATGGACTATAACCTGGAAATGTGCATTAAAATCAATTCTTCCTCTCATAAGATGCTGGCCCTGGGGCCTGGATGTAATGAAGATGCTAAGACACCCCTCTGTGACACCGGGGTTGCCACAAGTCAGGGAGATGTGAGAGTTATGAATAATATGCTCAGCAGCAGCACATCAGTCCCAGAGTGGGAGCTCCTTCTTTCTTCTGAGCCCAACCCCGTGTTTCCTTATCACTATATTACAGAGACACACAGACACCCATTGACCCACACAGCATGTCATCCTGTCCACAAGTCCCTCTGCGTACTGTCTTGCCATAGCAAATGCTGCCCTAATTTCTTCTAATATATTAAAAAAAAAAAGCTTCACTTCACTGGAAATTATTTCTCTATGGATTTACTGACTCTAAGAATTTTGAAATATGGGGAAATGGATTTGGAATCACAGCCCTAAAAATGAATCTCCACCTTATGATGTATTCTTCCTTGGAGGTCAGGACATGCTCCTTAAAGGTCAAACCAGGCAAGCACTTTACCTGCCAGATATGGCGGGTGGACATAATAAGTGGCAATGTGTCCACTAGTCTCTTTAGTTCTAGGCTGCCCTCTAAGTTCTGTGTTTCCTCTGAAAGAATTCTGGAAACTGATCATCAACAAATTTCTTCCTTAAAAAATATAGAGAGAGAAGTACTTAGGATGGAAAAAGTCATATGATAAGGTCCTTATCATTGTAGCTGCTGGTGATGGTCCTTTATGAACAATGTCAAAGGGCTAATCAAGGAGACTACCTGCTTTACCTAGGAATTCTAGTAACCACATTTACAGGGGTAGGGTGTAGTTCTAAGGAACAGAGTTCCAAAGCCACAAGTCCAAGAGGGAGATGGCAGTGGCACCCCTGAGATTCTCTACTACGTGGCAGTTTAGCCTTTCTGTATGTCAGTTTCCTGCAGCTAGAGGAAGTAGGGTAGAGACAGTCCCTGAAGATGACAGCCTCTACCAAGGACACTATAAAATCTTCCCACAAATTTGTTTTTGGCTTTTATTAGCCACAGTAAACGGTCTCTTCCATCTGAGGTCTACAGGGTGCTAAGGACGTTTTGTTTTTCCCCAGCTTTCTTCACCCTCTTTCCTTTTACACATGTTTTTATTCATTTTGTTATGTCTATTAATTCATTTAGAACAAAGGTAGGACGTACCCAAGACACCTGTGTTGGTTCCAGGCTCTGGATGTGTTAAATAAAGCAACTGGCAATAAATCAAGACTCTTGGCATTCCATCTTGCCGAAGTATTTTAACCCCTGCAAGGCAGTTTTCTCTCTGGAAAAGCAGTCATAATGGAGTTCCCCTTCCCAATGACTGGGGCTCCAGTATGTGTGTGTCTCTCAGCACCTGCCTCCTGGACGTAGCAAAGCTGGGGTGTGGTGGACAGACCGGAAGAGGAGGAGAAAGAAGAGAAGGTGGCAGCAGAGGTGGGACAGCAGCCTCAACTGATCTACAGTCCATCCCACTCTGCCTCTGAGCACAGCTTCTGCCCACACTGCGCTCACTGTTGAGGAAAAGTTGCTGGGCTCCCAATGGCTGTAGGAGCTCCACACATCCCATCAGCCTTCCCAACTGAGGCCTCTGCCTACTGCCTGTCTGCTCACTGTCCAGCCTTCTGGCTGGAGTCTAAGGCTATTGGCCTAAAGCATAGAGCTCAGCGGTATGGACCTGATCTTACACCTGACCCTGATCTGTCCCTGACCCACCCCCACACCTGCCCCAACCACAGCCCCTGGTTCCAGGAAGCTCTTGTGTCCTTTGGTGAAGGAGCAGGTGGTGAGAGAGGAGTCAGGCCAGGCCCCAAGCTCTTCGAAGGCACAACCCCTATACCTGGTCACCTCCTGCCCCTAATCTAGGGTCTCCTGGGAACTCCAAAATAAACTGTTGACACATGGAAATTCCCTACACCCAACTTTAGACATCTCCAATTCAAGATCTCTATGGAATCAATCCCCATTCCGGGAATTTCTCACAAAGAAAATCTTCCCGTTAAATCCCCTATTCTGCCTAACATTGACTAGTATCCTGCTCAGCTGTATTCTGAGCTCCAGAGTCAAAGGCAGTCTTTAAGTTCTATGTAAACACAGCTGAGAGTATCTGGCATGTAAACCACCCTGCTGTGAGCACACTGGCCTGGACGGAAAGTAGTATCAGCTGTAAACGACCCGAGCCTTGTCATGAGGCCAGGCATTTTAGTAAATTCCCAGTGTGAGAATTATACCACAGAAAGATGTGAGAGGACAAAACCCGCTTCCTCTTAATGACCTGGAAACAATGGGGGAATAGGAACAACTAAGAGAACAGTGGTCCAGTTAAAGAAAAGCCAATTTGAAAGTTTCGTTGAAAGCATTCCTTCCTGTAACAGAGCTCTGCTGCCCTCCACTCTGTCGGTTACCACTTCGCAATATGCTTCTAATACTTTCCCAGCAGAGGTGTGCATTGCTTCTCTGCTCGGTTCCGTTAGGGAGTTTCCCAGCAGAGATGATGGTTTCTTCTCACCTCTGGCACAAACTGTTGCTTCTGTGCTTCACGCAAGGAAGGGGAAACCCCTTGCAGAAATGTAACAGTCTACTGCAGCTTTAGCAAGAAGTTGTTACTTTTGCTCTGCTCCCCTTTGGGAGTTTCCCAGCAGAGGGTTCTACTGCTTCTCTGCCAGGCTCCACTAGGGAGTTTCCCGGTAGAGACTATGCTCCGTGATGGAGAAAGAAGGTCTTCACACAAAACCCATTCAAGTTATTTAAGGGAGTGGGGAACGTGGGGGGTAGTGGGGGCGTAGGGTATCTAGAAGAGTGGCTGAAAAAAAAGGCAGCTGCCAACTGAACATGCACATGGCTATGGGGCTTCTTAGGGGTGGAGTTTTTCCACTGAAAAAGATTTTCAGGGTGGGAATTGGTCTCATTTCAAACTCTGAGCTTGGACAATCTTAGAGATTGGCAGGATTTCATGTTAGGGATTGGTTGACTTTCCTGTTCAAGGATTGGTTTCATGCTACTCCTGTGTTTTTCTTTGGCTCTGGTTTCAGGACCAGTGTGTGTGTCTCACTGGCTCTGGTTTCAGCATTAGGGTCTGTTTCTTTGGCTGGCCCTTTTACCCTACACATAGGGCTTCATAAATTCACAAATTTATTTTTTCCATGAGTTTGCAGGTGTAGACAGTATTAAAATGGATTATCATAAAACTTGAACAGATTGTTGACACTGTCGATTTTTTTCTACAGAATACTGTTGTATAACTGAATGTAAGTGTGTTGACTAAACATCTAAACAAATACTTCATATTAAGGAGCCTGCAGTATTTTTCTCAGGTCCCCTAATACTATTGTAATAATCAAAGGCTTTAATGGATTGATTGCATACAAAAAGTTTATTTCTGTATAAAGAGCTTTGCAACACTGTCTACATTTATCGGGTTTCTTTGCAGTATGATGTTTTCAAATGTCTTTGAAGACTACGAGCATAGACAAAGGCTTTACCACATTGATTACATTCATAGGGTTTCTCTCCAGTATGTGCTCTTTTTTTTTTTGGGGGGGGGGTTTCGAGACAGGGTTTCTCTGTATAGCTTTGCACCTTTCCTGGAACTGACTTGGTAGCCCAGGCTGGCCTTGAACTCAGAGATCCACCTGGCTCTGCCTCCCAAGTGCTGGGATTAAAGGCATGCGCCACCAACACCCGGCCAGTATGTGTTCTTTTATGCATTTGAAGATGACCCTGTTGTCCACAGGCTTTACCACACTGATTATATTCATAGGGTTTCTATCTAGTATGGATTCTTCTATGTAATTGGAGACTGATCTGTGTAGAGAATGCTCTACCACATTGATTACAGTTATAGGGTTTCTCTCCAGTATGGGTTCTTTTATGCACTTCAAAATAACCCTGTCGTGTAAACGTTTTACCACACAGATTACATTCATAGGGTTTCTCTCCAGTATGGGTTCTTCTATGTTTTTGAAGAGAACACTGATAACCAAATGCTTTACCACATTGATTACATTCATAGGGTTTCTCTCCAGTATGTGTTTTTTTATGTCTTTGGAAACTATTGTGAAACACAAAGGCTTTACCACACTGATTACATGCATAGGGTTTCTCTCCACTATGTATTCTTTTTTTGATGCCTTCGAAGAAGAATCTGTTGGAGAAAGGCTTTACCACACTGATTACATTCATAAGATTTCTTTCCAGTGT